AGTACTTGATTGCTATAGAGTATATAAGGTCAATATAGTTTGCATTTAGTTTAACCTGCTTGTTGGTTGTTTTTCTCTCTAGAAATTGTGTAGATATAATATTAGATATTTCAATAATGTAGTAGTTAATCAGCCAATTAGAGTTAAGGGCACAACCAAGGCAGCTTATATATGTTCTAAATTAATACATATCCTAATATAGCATATAATTTACTGTTGCAATAGATATATAGTCAATACTTCATATGTGTATACTCTATAAGTGACTCCATATATGTTAATAATAAGTGCATATGATTTACATAATTATTTAAATATTATATATAGATTATTCTTTTAATAAATATTTTTTAAATGCATCTTTATTCAACAATATGTATTTATTGAAGGTTGACTATATTGAATTTAGAAAATCTTTTCTTATTTAATTAGCATGGGTTATACAGTAAATATTTTATACCTAATTATGTAATTTTGTTATTTAACTATCCAAATCTTTCATAATTTCTAAAATACTTATTTTAAAAGTTATTCAATACGATCTGCTGTATAAATCAGTCATTATAATAAAAGTATTAAAATAGTATAAAAATATTCAAATTTATAACATCACTGATCTTTTATACATTTTTGAGAATTAGATTAAATTTCAAATATTACTGATCTTTTATACATTTTTGAGAATTAGATTAACTTCCAAAGCTATAAAAACTTATATTTTTAATGTTAAAAGAAATAATAGTTTAAATTAAATTAAAAATGTAAGTTGTACATTATTTTTTAACATGAAAAAAATAATTAGTAAAAATGTATAAAAAACTTATGATAAATAATAAGTTTATTAACTCTATAATGTTTTTAGAGGCTTAGACAATAATAATTAATTTTAATTAGTTTTTTTTTATTTAATCTCTATTTTATTATAATAACAAATTATTTATTATTTAAAATGATTGTTTAAATAAATTTATAGTACAGGTATATTAAAATATGTCTACAAAATTATATATATAGTTTTCAAAATTTATCTGCTTATTATAACTAGTTCTAATAATAATAAAACAGATTTGAATATTTGTTTAGAGTCTCTAATTTAAATTTATAACAAAATTTTAAAGAATTTTAAATAGAAAAAAATACGAGTATAAACTATTAATTTAAATAGTGTCTATAATAATAAATAGGTAATAATATATAATATATAATTTATATTTAATTATTTTAACAGTCTGTATAGCCACATGCCTAATTAGAACTAATTTTATTTTTTATTATTATTGTCTAAAGTGAAGCAACAAACTCTTACTTCTACACTATTTGATAACTGAAATTACATTTTTGATAATTTTTAATAAAAATATCAAAAATGTAGTTGTTGCATTTTCTGGATATAATGCCATGTACCTATATTTGCATATTTAGTGCAACAACAACACAGATTTTATACATTTGTGTTATGGGCTGTTTCTAATCAATTACTTGAGTAAATAATTTATACATATTGATGGCATATAATAGTCTTTAGATTTACAATCAAAATAAAATACTCTAGAAGGTGTGCAATGATAAATACTTATATTTTTATTTTTAATAATTTCACCAAATACAGTATTAATTTTATATTACACATATTATATATTGGAAATAAATTTCTATGCCAATCTTAATTCCAGTAATTAATAATGCTTTGCTAATGCTTTTTCTCCTTCAATTTTATATTTATAGTCTGAATGAAATAATTAACGTGAATGAAATTTTTTGAAAAATGCTGTGTAGTGAGAAATGGGTATTATATTTTTTAATTTTATTAACCTTTCTTGCTGATTTTAATTCTAGTAATCTTTCATTTACAAACTGCAAGAATAATTTAACATAAGTAGAATTATTTAAAAAGTATTTAGTAAATTAGTATTTATGTTTTTGGTTTGAAAGCTCAAAGTTATTAATTTTAACTCTGCTAATTAATAATAGCCTTTATATTTGTAGGCTAAATGAAATATTAATGTAAATAAATTATTGAAAGGTAAAATGTAATAGTAGATAGATATTTATATTCTTGACTTTACGAACCTGTTTTACTTATTTTAATTCCAGTGATCTTTATATTAATATGATTAGAGTTATTGGAAAAGTATTATATTAATTATATAGTAGTGAATTAGCATTAATGTTCTTGGTTTGAAAGTTCAAGCTGTTATTTTAGCTTTAACAATTAATAATAATTTTATATTCATAGGCTGAATGAGATTAGAGATGCAGGTAAATTGTGCTATAATTATATTAAATAATTATAAAAAGCTATAGCATGTTTGCTATAACTTTTTGTAATTGTTCTCAGCATATAAGAGTTGTGATATTTACAAATTTATGTTGTTACTTGTTATAATAACTCTAAATTTTTGTTTTGGGTAAGCAGCATTATTTAATATAGTCACAGCATCATTAGGACAATTCACCTGCACCCCTAAATGAGATAAAATGGTTAAAAGGCACTATATAATAGATAAACATTTATATTCCTAATTTACAAACCTGTTTTTCTAGTTTTGACTCCAGTGATTTCTATATTAAAGTGAGTAAAATTATTTGAAGAGTATTTTATAGAGCTAAATTAGCATTATGTTCTTTGAGAGTTTATTAATTTTAACTTTGTTAATTAATAAGAATTATATTTGTAGATTAAACGAAATGATTAACAAATAGTTAAGAGTACCATATAATTGTGAATAAGTATTTGGGTCTTTGCCCTAAAAATGATCTTATGAGACTATGTAGATTTTATAAATAAAAATTAAAATTTTATAAAATAAAAGAAAGTTTATTTGAATTGGATTGCTAGATAGCTAGAAATTTTAATTTCATAAAATTTACATAGTCCCATAAATTTGTATATAAAAAATAATTTAAAAAACATAAAAAAAATTTAAAAAATTAAAGTAATTTAAATTAAAAATATATAAAAAAATAATTTGAAAAAATATATAAAAAATTAAAAACAATTTAAAAATAATAATTTAAAAAACATATAAAAAAAATAAAAACATTAAATTAAATGTATAAAAAAATAAAAAAAATTTAAAAAAAAATTTAAAAAATGTAAAAAAATAATTTAAAAATTAAAGAAGTAATTTAAAATAAAAATATATAAAAAAATAATAAAAATAATAAAAAAGTAATTTAAAATAATTTAAAAAATAATAAAAACCCACTTCGAGTTCATTTGAACCCACATCGGGTCCATTTGAACCCACGCCGGGTCTATTTGACCCCACATTAGTTCATGTCGGTTCATTTGAACCCACATCAGGTTCATTTGAAATCACGTCGGGCTCATTTGAACCCACTCCGGCCCATTTGAACCACTTCGGGTTCATTTGAACCCACTTCGGGTTCATTTGAACTCACTCGGGTCCATTTGTACCCACTCGGGCCCATTTGAACCCACGTCGGGTCCATTTGAACCCACGTCAGGTCCATTTGAACCCACGCCGGGTCCATTTGAACCCACGCCGGGTCCATTTAAACCCACGTCGGGTCCATTTGAACTCACATTTGGATTATTTGACCCTACGTCAGGTTCATTTGAACCCATGACGGGTTTATTTAAATATAAGATAGATTTATTTAAATCTAAACTAGGTTATTTAAACCCAAAAAAGAAAATTAAAAACCTCATATTGGGGGTAATGCCTGGGCCCTGAGAGCTGATATAATTTAGGCCTAAGAATTAGAAAAAAGTTAGAACCTCAGACCCGGGGCAACACCCGGGCCCTGAGAGCTAATATAATTTAGGCCTAAGAATTAAAAAAATTAGAACCTCATACCCGGGGCAACGCCCGGGCCTAAGAGCTAGTAAACTTATCTGTGAATTAATTGTCAGTGAACTAAACTGTCGGTGAAATAACATGTACCGTATAGACCCGAAATAACGCTCGTGGGCGTTATTTCGAAATCTGGGCCTCCTTAAAATAGCATATATGATCTCAAATTAACGCCCATGCGCACCCCGAATTAACGCGCACCCTGCCCCGACCATAAAAAAAATTTTCTTTTAATAATCACTTTTTCCAAAAAATCATCTCTTATTTCGAAATAACGCACATGGGCTACTCGAAATAACGCGCAGGTCAATCAATTAACGCGCAGGTGGGCGTTATTTTGGGTCTATACGGTACCCATTTTATTTATATTAATTTTACTCAATTAAGTATTCATTTCATCTAAATTAATTTGCGAAGATTCTAATTCATTAAATTCGTGAATTCTTGTTAACTTTGTTTTATTTACACCAATTAAAATAGATAAGTCATTTTGAATCAAGAAATTTGAATTCATTTCATTTAATTTTACTATGTAAAAGTATATGTTGCAAGTGAAAACAGAATTTAAGTGGATTCAGAATTTATATAAAAGATCCCATTTTCGGGTTGATTTTATCATAACGTTAACCCTAATCAACTAACTAACTAGAAAATCCATAGAATATTCAAGTTGAGAATTTTACTATCAAGTTACACTTTATCATTTTATTTAAATTATTTTAAATATGAAAATACAATTAACCTTTATACATAATAATTAAAACAGGCGGCGAAGCCGCCCGCATTCGCAATCTCTAGTTATAAATTAATTAATTATTAGAATATATACATATGTCGTCTTAAATTGATTTGGAATTTCCTAGTTAAATTAGGATTATGGTTAGGGTGTACATGACGTATCTAAGTTACCATCTATCCGAATTTAGATACGACATACATATGGGGTTTATTCCTTGAAAATGACCTTACGGGCATAGTAAATCATATGATCAAAACTTTATGATAAAATCAACCCGAAAATGAGGAAATTCCAAACCCACTAAAACTCCGTTTCCGCCTACAACATATATATATCATTTGAGCGTCTCTTTATGAAAATTTCAAAATATTTTAATCATGATTTCATTTCACAAAATTTTCACTTACACCAAACCCGATTATATTTTTAATTTCTTACTTATGATCCTATGTTTTTACATAGTTTTTTTTTATTATCGTCATTTTACTCGTATTAATCCCCTTCCTGGTCCAATACCAATTCCAATAATTGGAATTTTTATGGTGAATAATGATCTTATTGATCAAATTAATAAATTAAGTAAAATTTATGGCCATAATGGCATATTTGAATTTTATCTTGCTGGTTATAGACAAATTGTAATTACCAAAGCTGAATACGCAAAAAAATTTTTGGCTCCATCCACGAAAGAATGCAAGATTTACTGGAAGAGATTTCCATTAAAACTCGAAGTTTTTGAAGATCATGGTATTAATCAATTAGGATTGGCATTTAATGAAAATTTCAATTATTGGAAATTTTATCGTCAAATTTATATGCAAGCAATCGGAAAACTAAGTAATTCAAATAGAACTACTAAGTTATTAAATGAATTATTCGAAGAACTGTCAAATTATTGGTTAGATTTGACAGGAAATAATTATAATTCAGGAGTTATTGATTTAACAGCTTGGACAAAACGATTTTTAACTGATTTAATGTTTTTATTATCGACAGGAAAGCGATCATTTGCGATTAAATATTGTTATCTTAAACTAAAAAATGAAAAAGTTACCAAAGAGATTATGGATTCTGAACATTATATTGAAAGCTTAACATATTTTTTAGTTAATATTCGAATGGCATTTGTTCCGAAATTTTTAAGAAGATTACCTTTGATCAGAAATCATGTAGATAAATTTATGGATGTTCGTAATTTTTTATTTGAAAGAATTTTAGAAAATGTTAGAGAAAAGAGAAAAGAAATTGAAGAAATCGGCAGTAATGATAATTTTGACACAAAACAATTAGAAGATGATTCACTGACGTCTTTTATTATTGTCAATACTCCATACGAATCTCATCCTCAAAAAAGACCAATGAATGATATCGAAATAAGCTCTATTTTATTTGATGCACTTACTGGAAGTACAGATTCTGTATGTATAATGAAATATAGGGAGGGAGATAAGGTATTGGAATGAATTATCATATAATATTATGTGAATAATTTTTTAAATACCTGATTTCCTATACTTTATATCTTTATTTATTTGTGAGATACTTAATTATTAATAATGTTCTTATTATTAATATTATTTAATTCTTTAAATGTATGATCACGTCAATAGGTTGCAAGTGCATTTAGTTTTGTATTATATGATATTGCGCATAACCCAGCTGCTAAAATAAAATTACTGGATGAGATTAACTCAGTTATCGGAGATGATTTAACTAGACAAATCACCCTAGATGACCTTGAAAAATTAAAGTATTGCGAAGCGACTGTTTTAGAATCATTAAGAATGAGATCACCTACTGCTATGCTTTCAAGATACAATACAGAACCTGATGAAGTAGCAGGATATAAATGGCCACCCAATACTTCATTCCTAATGAATGTTCGTCGAATCAACAATAGTCCTCTTTATTGGGAAGATCCTGATAATTTCATTCCGGAAAGATTTCTAAAATCTTTAGAATCTGAAAAGCTATACAATTTTTTATCCACATCATTTGGAGCAGGCTTAAGATATTGTCCGGGTAAAAAACTCGCATTGATTGAAATAAAAATGTTATTAACATTAATTTTTAGAAAGTTTGATATTGAACTTGTGGATATGAAAGCACCCCTTGAAATTACTCCAACATTAATGAATATTTGCAAAAAATTAGAAGTTAGAATTATTCCTAAGAATAACCGATTTTAAATTTTAACTAATACTTGCTTACTGTTCAAACTTATCATTTAATTTCAATTTTTATTATATTATATAATTTATTAAATAAAACAATCAAAATGCTGTATCATTTTCTTTGTGATTATATGTTGGAAGACAAATATTCCATATAAATCATATAACTACATTGCATGAATATGCAATAAATATTTATTTTAATATGGTTAAGGTGCTGTAAAAAAAGATCGAATTTGGCAAAAAAAACCAATTGTAAAAAATAATTTTCTCGATATAAACTTATCAATTTTGATAAAATATTTTTAATTCTGCAAAATATAATAATTGTCATAGCTGGTGCTGAAATTTAGGTACTATTTAAATCTATAATACCTAGTAAAATTCACATATGCTTTTTTTACCAACAACATTAACTCTAAACACCACCTAACCCTAAAAAAACTAACAAAACGCCCAATAAATTTTAAAATTTCATAATAAGATTTCAAAATAAGCCGTGACATATTTTTATCTATGTGGTCTGATATTTAGTTAATAGAACAAACTAGATAGCTGCGCCCGCAAAACCAGGAACGGAAGGTCTGAGCGAAGGTCAGAATCAAGATAGATGATGATAGCATGTGACTTTGTTTTAATTTAGGATTAGATGTAACGGATTGCATAATATCGTTTAATAAACCAAATAATTGTCAAATCACGATTATCACGCCTCTGGCGAGTTGCCTTATTAACTAAAATCATATAGTTTCGTATTTATCATATTAAAAGGATACAATTCACCCCGTAACAACAGAAATGATTTTTAATTAATAAGGATCGTAACGTTCTTTCTGTAATTTTTAAAAGATTTCGATTAGCCAATTTTAGGTTCTGTAATTTATTCGTCCATTGATCTTTTTTTTAGGTTTGTCGATTTTCGTCCACATTTTAACCATCTAAAAAGAATGGCGTGGCGTACAGTATGAGTAAACTAAAAATTTGTACCGTTGTTATATATTATATAGTATAAATTTTAAATTAGGTACCTTTTATCATGTTGATTCTATGTTATATATTACTGTATTAGTTTTAGAAATTATCGTTATAGTATATTTA